ATTTGTCTGTTCTTTCAGTAATCCATGGGAAATTCAGTACTCTTATCCTGCACCACAACTCAAAGGCATCAATTCATCTTCTGTCACATTTATTGCCTTTTTAATGCATAGTAAGTGATTGAGAAGACCATGCCTGAATTAGGCTCATCTTAGTTTTCAAATTGACTTCTCATTCTGGAGAGGTCCCTGATAGCTGACTTGCCTAGTACTAAATGTTCCCTGATTTCCTGACTTTGTACCAAGGGTGTTGATTGCTGATCCAAGAAAGATAAAACTACTGACAGCATAAAACCATTGACAGTTTCAATTCTTTTTTCTATCTATCATAATTTAACTGTTGGTCTTGTAGTGTGGATCTTTGTTTTATTGATGTTGAGAGTAAGGTAATTCGAGAAGCCAGATTCCATGAGGAAGAAAGGCATCAGGTTTGAAAGAAGAGTAATTAACAACGGCATTATGCAGATGACACAACTTTGTTTTGCTTTTGTGCAATTTACTGCCTCTGATAACCCACTGGAGAGTCAACTACAGGTCGATTTCTACTTGAAGATACTCAACAACAACAAGAATGTGGTGTTTAGTAGGCCTTTCTTGTCCATCACCAAAAAAAATTTTGCATCCACTGGAGAGAACATGATTTTACTTATTTATTACATCTCAAAGGCCACAATGTTAGCCACAATTTGTTGTGATTCACAAACTCAAATGCCTTTGGACAGTCAATAAAACACAAATAGACATTCTTCTGATACTCTCTGCTTTCAGCCAAGAGTCATCTGACATTGGCAATGATATTCTTAGTGCCATGGCCTCTTCTAAACCCAGCTTATTTTTCTGGAAGTTCTCTGTCGATGTACCATTTAGTCTTTTTCTTTCTTAAAATAATATTCAGCAAGGTTTTGTTTGCATGTTAGGTTTTGCTTGCATTAGTGATATTACTGGATAATTTCCACACTCAATTGGATCACCTTTCTTGGGAATGGGAATAAATATAGATCTCCATATTAGCTGGCCAGGTAGTTGTCTTCTAGATTTCTTGGCACAACCTGGTGAGTGTTTCTAGGATTGCATCTGTTTGTTGAATTATGTCAATTGTTATGCCATCAATTACTGGGACCTTATTTTTTTCCAATTCCTTCAGAGAACCTTGAATTTTCTCCTTTGCCATTGCTTCTAGATCATATGCTATTTCATTCAATTTTTCTGTGTCAGCCACTTCTTTTTGGTACAGTGACTTTGTGTACTCCTTCTGTTTTCTTTTGATGCTTCCTGGATCATTTACTATTCTGCCCATAGCATCTTTAAATATTGCAACTTGAGGCTGGAATTTATTCTTCAGTTCCTTCAGCTTAAGAAATGCTGAGTGAGCTTGTCCCTTTTGATTTTCTAACTTAAGCTTTTTGCACATTTTGTTATAATATTTTGCTTTGTCTTCCCAAGCTGCCCTTTGAAATCTTCTGTTCAGCTTTTAATTTCATGATTCCTTCCCTTTGCTTTGGCTTTTCAGCACTCTAGTGCAATATTCAGAATCTCTTCTGACATCCATTTGGTATTTTCTTCCTCCTCTGTCTTTCTAATGACTTTTTGCATTCTTTCTGGATGATATTCTTGATGTCATCCCATAGCTCATCTGGTCTTCATTCATTAGTGTTTAAGGCTTCAAATCTCTTCTTGAGATGATTTTTCAACTCAAGTGAGATAGACTCAAGGTCATATTTTGGTTCTTGGGGATTTGTTTTCATTTTCTTTAGCTTTAGTTTGAGCTTGCAACAGAGTAGTTGATGGTATGTCACGTAGTCTAGTTTTCACAGCTGATATAGAGCTTCTCCAGTGAGTCTTTCCACAGATGTAATCAATATGATGCCTGTGTAGGCCATCAGGTGAGATTCATGGGTATAGTTGACATTTTAGTTTTTATAAAAGGTATTTGCAGTGAATTTATCATTGATTGTGCATAATCCTATTATTCTACCTCCAGCTTCATTCTTGTCATCAAGTCCATATTTTCCAACTATTGATCTTTCTTTCTTTTTCTTATCATGCAAGAATGATTGTTATTTTTTGGTGCTACCAAGCTGACTAGCACTCATATTATCCCTAAGAAGACCATATCTGAGCCCTGCCCTAACCTACACTATCCTTGCCACCTCTGAGATAACTGCTCCCTTGCCCTTTATTAGTCCTTTATGTCAATTCAGCTTGTTAGAGGTCTTCCTTTCTTTCATTGATTCTCAAACTTTCCCAGCATGTTCATCCTTTTCCAAGTACTGGCTCCTCCTGACAAGTCCATAGTATGTAACAAAATATTTTAAAATTGAAATTCTTTGTGTCTATAGCAGAGAAATAAAGCCATTTTCAGAATACTATGCACAGAAGTTTTTCTTCACACAAGAGTAAGGTTTGAGAGAAAGCAGAAGGCAAGGTGGGCTTTCAGATGGTGAAAAACTCCCTACTCATGATGCTCCTTTAAGTCAAGACATGGTAGACCAGCTTAGTGGACCTTGAAGTTTCTAAGATCCTCTCTGAAGGACAAAAGGAGAAAGATGTGGCAATCTCCTTTGATAAAAATGTACATCCTTTCAAAAAAAAAATATACATCCTTAGAAACCCTATGGTTCTACCTTGGTCAACAGGGTCACTGTGAATTGGAATTGGCTTGTTTGCGATTGGTCTTTATTTTGCTACTTGTCTGGAGGACAGGTGAATATTGTTGTTGTTAAGTGCCATCGAGTCATAAGCAACTCATAGCGACCCTATGAACAAAAGACCTGGACACTTGTATAACTTTCGTCCTTTCTCCAGGTTCATAGGGTTTCCAGAGGCAAGCTATTTCAGAAGTGAGAGCCACTCCTGCTTCCAAGCTTGTTTTAAAGGGGGAGCTCCACCAAACACAGATGAATAGCAAAGCTAATAATTGCATTATCCATTGTTTTGTTTTTATTTGGCCAATCTGCTTTCACAAAGATTAATCTTACAAATCCTAGGGAGTTTTACTCTTTCCTGTAGGATAGCTTTAAGTCATAATGAATTTAACAATAATGGACTTGGTTTTATGTTTTGGAATAACTTGTTATTGTTGCAATAGATTATGCTCTTCTTTCCTCCCAAAACCCTACAAATAAAACCAATTACCACACACACCTTTAGCCATTTAACAAAAGTTGATAAGCTCTTCATTACTTGGATGATGTCTAACTTCAAGGAATTTGATTTAGTTTCTTGTTTCTCAAAGTAGCTGGGAGCTGATTAGAAATACAGAATCTCAAATCCTGCCCAAATTGGCTGAATCAGAACTGATAATTTAATTACATATTACCCAAACTCAAGCTCCTTTCCTCTTCATGCAGTAGTGCCTGTGAAGAATTACTGATCTGACTCTTCATCTTACAACCTGTGGTTAGTAATAGTAGATGTACATTAGAATAATAAAGGATCGGTTTATCTTGACTCTAGACCTAATCATACTCCAACATCTCCCCACCCCCACATACACACAAACCCAAACTACATAATCCCTCAGTCAATGCTAACTTCCCTGTATGCCCTGATCCTGGTTGGAGAGGTCAACTATATCCAAGTGTGTACTACGGTTTGTAGCTGGTATGGGATCTCACATGAGGAATACCAGCCCCCAAATTGCTAAAGAACTAGTGCATATGTTTCCACCTTCTATCAGTGGTCTCTTAGGACACAATCCACTCCAAGAATAGCATTAATGCCTTTTTAATTTACAGGTCAGTTCGGATTTGATGTCTAAGGCCACTCAGATAGCCGTATAGGTTACCTGAGTGTCTGAGGTTACCAAATGTTTCAGAGTAGCTTACACCTACGACCTTTGCCCATCATCTTTCCTGGATGGAAAAATGGAAATGACAAATGATTTTTGAGAAGCTATTCAAAAAATTGCTTTTACGTTGATCCGAAGCCTAATGAAACCCATCACCTGCTCCAGATCATCATCCATGGGGCAGTTTACAGGTGTTGGACCTCTTCAGAAGTTCAGATCTGACAGAATGAAATATCACTTGAATTTAAGGGGAGAAGGTGTTACATAGGGCACATAGGGTGTATTTAACAAATATTAATTAACTAAATTTCTCCAAAAGCCCCTAACTTCTGGTCATCCAAAGTTATTGAACATGACATATTAGGGAATCTGCTATAGAAATATTGAGAGCTGTAAAGCTGTTTTATCACAAGATTTTAAAAGAAAGCTCTTAATCTGCTTTAAAATAACAAAAAATTAAAAAATTCCACAGAAATTTGGCGTCCAAATTCCATGATATATATAGAATTTTGGTTCTAGTTTGGCATCAGCCTCTCATTTAGCAGCGGCCAAAGGATGTGATCCTTGCCCTTGAATCTCCTTCCTTTGTGGTCCCCCGCCCCCCAGCCTGCGCCTTTACGTTTCCCAGGCAGGGAGCGCGCGCGCGGCTGCGCTCATTAACGCGCAGCGCCAAGCGGGAGCTGTCAGCGGCCGGGGCTGCCTAGGACCCAGGAGGAGCCGCTTCTCTCACGCTGCAGCGCCTCCGCGGCTGAGCCACAGGCCCCGCGCTCCCTGCCCCACGCTCCCCTCCAAGACTTGGGCATTTCTTGGGGGGGCCGGGAGCGCCTCTCACCCTGACAGCTGGCCCGACGGGCTGCCGAGCTGGGCCTGGACGTGGATGCTCGCCAGTGGGCTGGGCCGGCCATCAGCGGGGGAGGCGAGCTGCATTATTTCCCGTTAGGGCCGGGCTCTGCTGGAGGAAGGGGCCCCAGGCGCCGCCCC